GGATCCGAGAGTACCGCATGAAATCACTAGATTGGTCAATATATTTGCAAGCACACGTTGAGAGAACAAACAAGAGCATAAACACAAAGAACCAGACAAAACTAGCGACACAAATCGACATGAAGGAAGAGGTATCGCCAGTCGATCACTTTATTACTAATTGACATGTAGATGATTTAGCAGTTCACCCGGGTCTACCTCTTCCCCTTCCTCATCGATCTCAACCCCCTCGTCATCATTGATAACCTCCTGTTCAGGATGTTCGGTCCCCATGGTGTGAACTGCTTCAGTTGATGCTAATGTTGATATGAGGCGGAACCATTCGTGAGTTTGTGGACCGTTTCCATATAGCTGTTCCCACAATGACAGAGCATCCGCCGACCAAGTATTCAGAAGAGCCTCATGTTTAGTGAGGTGGTTCTTTAAGATGTATAGTGATAGTTCAGCCTTGACCGAGTTGCCACAATCACCCAAGCTGATCGAAGTAAGAATGCCGCCTGCCGTATCGTTTGCCTCAACTTCTTCATCATCTTCAGACAATTCCGCTTCCGAGAGGAAATTTTCTACCAGTAAAATGAAATGATACAAACAAATCAGATCACACAATATTCCATACCAGAGCAATAATAATATGTTATCGTACCAAGTATACTAATTTTTGCCTTGATAGCGACATGATGATTTACAGCCCAAGATAGCGCTGATTCAAACTCATGCTGTATCATACCAATTTCCTCTTCTACCCTTTTTGTAATCAGCATTGCATGTATTCCGGATCGTACATCGGAGTTGACCGCCCAAGGAGCTTGTGAATGGTACAGATACACATCTTGCCAGAAAGCATCATCGAGTGACAAGTTGACAAAAGTTCGATAAGTCATCTCGGGGATATTTGGTTGATCTTCGTCAGGGGACAGAAGCGAAAGGTATTCATGTCGATATTCGTTATATTTCCGTATTGCTGTTTCAATAGGACTCTTGCGCCGTTCAATCGCAGCTATGATTCGTGTGCTGAGTGTCGTTCCAATGTGAGTCCCGCGATACAAAGGCTGTCGTTCCGCAAACAACTCAACAGCATGAGTGTACAACTCGGATTTGGAATGCCAAAGGAGTAGTTGCAATCTTCTCCTTGGGGCTTTGAATTCCCATATATCAGTTTAGGTTACGGAAAGACAATGAGCACGACTTGAGACATACCATCTTGGCCAATCAAAATGTCGTGCTCTCCAGGAAACTCCCTAGCGAATTCGCGTTGCTGTTCCATGCTTGAGGCAATGTCCAGTAAGGATTGAAATATGTTGTCATACGTATCAACATTGGCCGATGCCATCTCGTTGACTCGTGCTCTGTAGTTCTCAAAATTCAGGCAAATATGTTTGGTTAGAAATCAAATAAACCTAATTGCCTTCATTGATGGAAGTTCACTTACCTCAGTCTATTTAAACTGGCTTCCCGATCCAGGAAGCCTGCTAGTTGCTCTTGCCGCTCGCGATCCGCATCAGTATGGTTCAACTGAAATTGCCGTTGATCGTTCCATTGATCTGCAAAAAACTGCAGGTTGTAACTTGCTCTTGGGGATGCAAAAAGATTGATTAATCGATAGAGTGAGTTGAGCTTGCTGGTTGATTCTTGTTTTCGACTTATTGCTTTGTTGTACTTATGTCCAAGCCAGTGAACTAAAAGACTTTGTCAGCTACATAGTCCGAAAAGGTAGAAGTGGCGAAATTTGTACCCACTCAAGTTTTCAATCCCTCGTTTGTTGTGGAAGTGAATTTTGTGCGCAAGTGCAGCAAGCCTGTGATTTCGGGTAGCGTATCGCAGAGGACTTACTAGAGGAGAAAGATAAGACCATAGTCTTTCTAGTCCTTCGCCATCAGAAAGGCCCCATCCGTCGTTGTAGCGAGGGCTAAATTCCAATTGACACTTCCAATTGTGTACATAGGAATGAAACACCGACGTGCCGAATGTAAGCCTATTAGTATCTTCGGGGAAGAGGTGCCGCTTTTCATTAAACGATCATCAGCACCTATAAAAGTATAGCTTGAAGAAATAAAAGATAAAATTCAGCTCACTAGAGAAATAAACTTCTTCAAATTGCATCCAATATCGTAGAGAACTCGCACATCCCTTCTTGAGTTGACATTGGATAGAACCTGGTTTAGTATAGCCAAGGGATACTTGCGATTTTCCCCTCCATCAGAGATGTTTGCAAGGTAAATGGCTGAGTCATGCCTACAACAACAGCCCATCAGCCCTGTATCATCACATGCTTTCCATGTCGACTTATTTCGCTTATCATCTGCAGCTTTATGAGAATCTGCACAGCGATCTCGCTGAAATATCATACAAAAATTCATTTCAGCTTTTAACTGATACAAGTCGGATAACTAAACTCACAGTTCCTCTGACACGGTGGATCTCTTCTTGGTTTTTGATGTAGTCATTCATCTGATTGATTGAGCAAGGTTTGATAAACTTATCGGGAGTTATCAACTCGACGTAATTCCTGCTGCCTGAAAAATGGTGCCGGTGTTGAAAGTTACCATCGAGACATATTACTAGAGGGGGTTGTTGGTTCTGTGACACTTGTTCTGAATTAGTTGATTCATTTGCATTTTGAGAAGCGGTATCTGGTGCGATTGCAGGATTTTGACTTTGAGGAACAGAGTCAGACGCGGTGGCTAGATTCCGATTTGCTGAGTTTGGAACGATGTCTTCGGGAGAAGGTGAGCCAAAACACGAGGGGCATGAATCTAAAGCTAACGATTGTTTTTTTGTCAAGTGAAGCGTATCTTTGATAACGTTGTCTGTACGATTTCCTAACAAGCGGTAGACATCAACAGCTGCTGAAAAGTTCGTGCGGAGATCTCGCCGCTTACAAATGAAATAATAATAGTGTCAGGGCACATTTTATCATTCAAATATTATTCAATGAACTTATGAAATGGTCACCTTTCCAGATTGGGTAAGAAGTGGGAGTGATCGTTCTTCCAGCCATGCCTGCATTGCCTTCATGAAAGGTAGTGTACCTACATTGCACCACTGCCACAAATGATTGTGGAAACTGAGCAACTTGATTGAAAAAGCCGTCTGTGGGGCTACTGGTGTACTACCAATGTATCCACGAGCAAGTAGGTGGAGTATATCAGGTGTGCACTGGCAGAAAGAAATGGACTCTTGTTTTTGACCTCCCAACAAGAAACTTAAATCAGTTAGACATCATATCAACATAGAGAGTGACCCAGCTTACTATTCAAATCGATCAAGTCCACTTTTCGATTTTTAAACTGGTTGCACTCGCAAAAGTCCGATGAAAGGTTTTCGAAAGCATTGGAGCTTGTCCAGTTCTTTGTCTTGACTTGGAGCCAAAGGTATGCTCCATGGAGGGTTGGAATCAATTTGGTCCAGTGGTTATTTGTTGCCTGATGTCGATTTCGCTGATCTACTGAGGTGTGATGTGCATTCAATTGATCAATTAGACTATCATCATTTTCATGGGCTTCTGGTTGCGGATCGTAGTGATTAAAATTTTCTTCAGGCCTGTTGTCCTCATCTGCTGGATTTGGATTCATTTGGCGATGTATGTCCTCTTCTAGTCGCTGGTGTGCCAAAACAATGTCGGGATTGATCAACAAGCGTGGGTCGGTTCCGGTCTGCATCCTTTGGAGAGTTTCCAAATCACGAAGCTGATCTGCAAGAGGGGGAGGCCTAGGTTGGTATGATGAGCGCTGCTCAGTGAAAAGGTTATCAGAGCTTGGTCGTGGCATTGTTAGGCCAGTAGGGAGAGAGCTGAGTAGGTTTGATTTTTTTTTTGATGAAGCTGAGGTGGAAGGAGGCAGATGAGTAGTTCTTTTGATGAGAATTTAATCCAGAAGATTGAATTGCAGACTTGTGCAAATTTTACCGTGGCAAATTTTGGGCTCTCTTTCCCCTTGTGGAGTTCATCATAAACCATCTGTTGCATCATAAACCATCTGTTGTTCATCTGTTGTTGCTAAACCACTGGAAAACTGTAGGTTTTAATGGAAAACTCACATGTTTCGCATGATAAAAGAGCCTTCATGAATAATTTGAAAGCATTCAACAATTTATATTCTCAGCATTCAGAAGATGCCCAAGATACAAGGAGTGTAGGTGCTTTGAAAAGTGGGTGTTGGTAGAAAAACATGACTCATGAATAAATTTTTTTGGGACTTATATTGAATTTAGGAGATCAATACCATTGTAATTTGCTTACTTTCTGATTTTATGAACTATCAATCCTTTGTACTCAATAAGTGTCTAGGATACAAGGAGATGAATAATTGTTCATTCTGATAATAGGTTGGTGCACAATATTAAAATTACCACATGTTGTAAAAGATTTGCTGAATGTGTTTAATCCATTTAAAAAACATTTGATGTGTTTAAAAGATTCATAAAACATGGAATCTTGTCCAATAACCATACAGAATCAAAATTCCTTTTTTGGAATGATTTAAGTACGTTCAGTGAATATTTTCATGGGCATTCTATATGTACATCTATTACCAGCATGTCCACATGCCAAAAACAAATTCCCTGGATGCATCTCAATCATTCCAAAGAATGGAATATTTTCCAATAACCATAGAGAATCAAAATCAATTTTTTTGAAATGGTCAAAATACCTTCAGTGAGTGTGTTCCAAAATGTGGTCTGTCAGTGCTGGTCTCTTATGTGACCATGGTGCCTCTGACCAGATGATAGATAATCCCATGTCAATGCATGGCTCCTTTCTCCCTCTCAAATAGAGCCAACACACTTCAACCCCAAAAGCACATACACAAATGAAGAAAAACTACACAGACATACATCCACCACCTTTTCATCCAATCCTTACTTCACCTTATTCCATTCTCCATCTCTGTCTCTTACTTACACAACTCTTTATTATCAATGCTGCTGTTTTTACTGCTTACACAGTAATATTATTTATTATTATGTAACTAGAGAGTTACATTCTCTTGTAGACACTTGGCCTAGTGTCTCAGTTTCTGACATGGTCTTTCTAATATTGTGCACCCACCTATCATCTGAATAAACACATTCACTGGATGTATTTCAAGCATTCCAAAAATGAAATTATGATTCCCTATGGGTATCTGAAAATATTTGTGTTCCAACATTTCCAAATTTGAAGGCCTGAACCCCTCAGAATAAAGTTACACATCAGTCCTTTTTCCTACTAACACACATTTGTGTTGAAATCTTATACCATCTCAGCAATCTTTTGATTGAAAAGGATGAAAACCAATTTTTTGAAAAGAAAATTTGTATTTGACTGCTCACCAAAATCTGAAGGCATCTCCCCTCAAACAAAAACAATTTACCCACCAGTCTTTCTTTCCTACTGTTGGATTTTGTGTCCAAACCTCAAACCCCATGTATTGTTGGAATTAATTGTAGGTTCTTGCCAATTCTGAAGAAATCATGCCCTTCTTAGCCTTGGTGCTGAGAAGTTGCATGTAATCTGCACCAAGAAAACTTGAGCCGGTGATGAAGACACGCCCGTTGATATTGGTTGATGCAAGAACCAAAAATGATTCAACTGAGTACTGTGTGCTGAAAAAATTCATCTTGATTTTGAAGGCAGTTGTCAGCAAAATGTGAGGTGAAAATATGTGAAAGGAAAGGTCAGACTTACATCGGTGACTGCCTTCTTAGCCCAAGCTTTACAATGAGAAAGAACTTGTGCATCGGTCTTCTTTGGCCCACCTGTAGTGTCTTGTTCCAGCTCCCTTGCCTGCTCTTGATCCTCATCCTCAATCTCTTCAGGATCCTCGACAGGTTTCAGTCCCATTTTTTCACGAAGTGAGTTGATGAAATCCCAGTCGTTATACTTCAATTGTTCATCCTCGTCAAGTTGCCTCCATCGTTCAGCAACCTGTTGCATTCTCTCAGCAGGGGGTAGCAGCTCTGGGACCCCAAAAAGAACGAGGAAGGAAATTGTGAATATTGCAGATGATTGGGAGATGCATTGATGACAGATGACAATTCAGACAGGACTTACTTGAATCAAAAAGTTTTCGAGCTTCTGCAGCGTACCGGCAGAAGTTATTGAACCTGTTGGGGCCTCGGACCTTGTTCCACACACCCACCCATTTGAAAAGAAGCTCTGATCGGATCTTATGCTCTAAAGCTAGAAGGTGAATCTTGCGTTGATATTCTAAGGTGATTTCTTTGAGCTGATCTTTAATTTGATTGGTGATTCGTTTGTTTTGACCAACGGTGTTCTGAGCGATTCGAAGTCCAAGGAGAGTTTCATTCTGCAGGCTACTCATCAGATTGTTTGGGAGAGATGGTCGGTTGCGAGAGACTGAAAGGTTTGGGTTATCTTCATTTTGAAATGTGGTAGCTTCTCCGCGTGGACGGTTACTAGAAGGGTGGGGGTCTGATGCAGTGGTATTGGTGGTTGGGTTGCGACCCTCGCGACCCTCGTTCGATGTCGAATTTTCAGAAACTTGTGCTGGGATGTCTGATTTTTTCTTACGAGGCTTCCGCTTCTTGAATGGACGCGCATTTGCTGAACTCGTCGTGGTTGATGTTTGGCTAGTCGTTCCCCCGCCAGTAGGGTTTTGTTGCCCCTGCGTCGCAGTATGGTTCATCTGATCTGGGTCCGGGGCCAAGGTGCTATTGCTTGCCATTTGGTTAAACAGTACGTTTGGATCGCCAGGACCGAATCCAGAATTATTCACGCCAGAAAACGAGTTTTGAAGGCTTTCGTTCGTCTGGAACTCAGCATCCATTAGTTGGTGATCACAATTGTTATTTGGATACGGTTGGGGATCTACATAGCCTGAAAAAGTTCCATAGTTATGCGCCATCGGTCTGTTGAGTGATTCGTATAAGTACCTGAGAGTGGAAGAATAAGGAAAACGACACAATCACTCACCGGAGAAATTATTAGATTGTACTCGCAATCACCAAACAAAAATAGCGCTTGGAGGGGTTGAATCGTCGGCTGACTGTTTTTCAGTATCGGCGGATTTGGAGGAAACCAAAGGGTGGGTGAGGTTGAGTTTGAAGTTGAGCGGCCTTGGGGGGAATTTCGGCTGGGAGTTCACCCCAAACCGGCGGTTCCTGCGGCCGACTGAATCCCCGCCAAAATCACTGTCTAAGCCCGCTCTTACGCACACGCGAGCTACTCCCTTAGAGGGTAGCGGCCAGTCCTCTCAGGTGCACCGTGAAACCAACATTCTTCAAAGCTTTCTCTTACGGCCCTTTCGCTTCCTACCGCTACCGTCCTGACTTCCCGGCCCAACATGCATAGTAGTACCTTCGCCTAGCTTAACAAAGCCACTCGAACGGAGGGTCCGGGGGACCCCGCGCGGAGCGCTCTCCGTAGGAGAGGCTTACGTGTAACACCTCGTCTGCTTGCGGGAGCAGAAAGGATTTTCAGGCTAAAATAATTGAAAGCTATTTTTAAAAAAAAGTGAGATGTCAGGTTTTTTTTTGGAGTAGACAGAAATGGAGCCTTGATACTTGCGCAACTTTTGGCCTCCTTCACTACTTTTCAATCCAAAAACTGTGGCCTCTGATGCCAAAAGAGCCCTTTTGTTGTTGTTTTTTTAGTCCAACAATAAAGGTGTAATCCTGTTTTGACTTTGGCAAATCCATCTGTGGATGTGCATTGTTCAACATGGATTTTCATCAACTATGAAATTTCAACTTTGGTCTGTGTACATGCTTCCTCTGGCCATCACCAACTTCACTCGACTTGGCTACTAGCTTTGAAAAGCCGTTCCTTCGCAAGCAACTCATGAGATGGAGGGAATTCATGCCCCCGCAAAAGTGCAGGCCTCGACCGATGAAGAAGTCAGGGAGAAGATAGCAATTCAATCAAGGGAAAAATATGATCAAGAACCAAAGCCGCTTCAAGTTGAAACGGTCCTAAATCTCCTTCGTGGTCGAAATACGTTCCTGCTAGCCGCGACTGGCTTTGGGAAATCTCGAATCTCAGAAATGTACCTCCGAATGCTTCCCAAAAACCCTCATGGTGATACCATTGGGGTAGTAGTTGTGTTGAACCCTCTCGATGCCCTTGGGGACAATCAAGTTGAAGAAAAAGTCGCCGCTGGTTTCACAGCTATCAACTTGACGATGCCAAATTTCTCTGAAGAAGTCTGTCTAGATATCCAGGAAGGCTTATATGACTTTGTCTACCTATCACCCGAAATGTTCCTTGATAACGAAGCTTTCAGCAATGTATACTTCTCGCCAAAGTTTCAAAGTAAGCTGGCCTTGATTGTGGTGGATGAAGCCCACATGATCTACTCATGGGGCTTGGTTGAGGGTGGCCAAAAGAAGCTTAAGACTATAGTCCGACATCAGGACTTTTCCGCCTTTCGACCTCATTATGGTAGCCTAGCAACCCAACTCTTAACGAAGAACCAGGCACCATTATTGCTAATGTCTGCAACTTGTAGGCCAGCGGCAATAACGGCTATCAAGAAGAATCTCAAGCTGCTCGACACACACATTGATCTCCTCCGCGATGAATTGACTAGACCCGAAATACGCATCCTGAGAATCCCCATGAAAAGCTCGATCCAGTCTTGCGAGGACATATTACAGGTTTATGATCCGAAATCTCATATTCCTGATGAGCAACTTGTCCCATCGTTAATATACAGTGGGACCAGGGTACGCACCCTTCAAGTCCTTGAGGTGCTGGACCAAGCTCGCGGCACTCCCGGCAATCATTTGAATCCACGTAACTCGTTTGCCCGCCGCTATCATGCTTGCACAGGCGAGTTAGACAAAAAGGACGTAATTGACGACTTTGCTTCCGGAAAAGTCCCAGTTCTATCATGCACCCTAGCTCTTGGGATGGGGCAGAATTGGAAGCTCGTTAGACAGATCATTCACATTGGTCGTGGCGATCCCTCCCTTATCTGCCAGATGATTGGGCGATGTGGCCGAGATGGTCGCCCTGGTTTGGCTATTCTTATGGTTGAGACAAATCGACCCAATGGAAAAAATAGTATTGCCGACTTTCCACCCAATCAAGTTCAAACAGATGAAGACCGAATGGATGCACTTGCCATCACTCCGGTGTGTCTCCGGATTGCATTCTCTATGGATAACTTGTACGTTCAGATGGTTGACCTGTTTTCTAGCATAAGGGGTTTTTCAACTGATAAGTGAGCTGTTTTGTTTGCAGAATTGGTTACATACCTCTAGATTTCAATGATCCCCTTTACCAAGCTGAAAAGCTTCGTGAGGAACTTAATGGATTTGCACCCTGCATGTGTTCCAATTGTATGGAGCATGCTGGCAAAGTTTTGGTGCAGAATCTGCCAAATTTGAATAAGGACAATTTCACCGACTATACATTGAATCGAGTGGCACTGAATGCAGTTGCTACAACTGAAACCAAACGAAAATATACTATCAACCAAAACGGGCCAACAACTAAGAAACAGGAACGAGTACGACTAGAGCCTTTGAAAAAGATCTTGCAAGAAACATTCAACAATTTTTATCTAAACATGTACGGGGAATCAGGCTCGTTGGTACCCAGTGATCTCTTTGGTGATTTGGAGGTGGAAGCAATTATTAATTACTTTGGTCAGATTCAATCAAAACACGATCTCCGACAGGTTATAAAAGGGGAGATGGTCAAAGGACAGCTGGAGGTTTTAATGAAATCGATTGAGGGGTATAGAGTGAGAGGGGCAATTGAAACCAACGCTTTGGAGACCGGAGCACCAGACAAACCATCAACAAGTTCCCAAACAAATCTGAATTCAAATCCTGATAATTTCACTCCAGCCAAACGGCCTCGAAAGAATGCAGTCTCGCCGGAAACCTTGAGGCAAAGAGAACAAGCTGCAGCCGAGAGAAATAAAGCAAAGGAACTGAAATTAGAACTACAAAAAAAAGAGCAAGAGGCAAAGGCTCGACGTTCCGCATGGCATCTTCAAAACATGAATGAAATTAAAAAGGCACATGGTCTACTTTAGGTACAATTGTCTTGGATTATCTTTAAAGCTCATGTTGAGTCTGCTCCTCATTGGTTTCAACTAGCTCATCTTCATTGTTTTCACCAAGTCCGGTGTCACATAGCATGTGTAGTTTGAATCGACTCAAATTTGGATCGTTACCTATCTCCAATTTAATTTTTTGACTGCCTAAAATGTAAGAGTTCCCAACCTTCTTTATTTTGGTTTCATCCTCCTTCTGGGCCCCAGGTGTTTTGTCAAGGATGTCAAAGTTTTTGGCCATCTGAAGAAATACATTGAGCGACTTAGTTGTCATGATATTCTTGTGCGACTGTGTGAAAACCGATGCACCAGAGTCAAGGCGAAGCGAATGCATCATTTGACGCAGCTAGAACCAACCAAGTTTGAAGTGAAGTTGATCAAGTTGATCCAGCAGATGAGTTAAGAGATTCAGATGTTAGCAAGAAATTGTGAAATTGATGAGGTTGGACTGAATCTCACCAGTTGAATGTTCAGAGAGAACAAGTTTTTCAATCGATCGATCTGAGTCCCAGAACCCGTCTGATTAAAGAAGAATTTCAACCAATAATTCTGTATCTCGAGGTAGAAATCCTTGGCCACAAAGTGATTTTCTCGGCCGCTTGGTGAGAATAGGAGTGAATGTCGGAAGTGTTTGGCTAGGGAAGGTGGTAGAATCTCGGTGAGCAAAAGAACCATTCGAGGTAGATACGCTGAGTAGTTCCGTAGGCCCTTCAATGATTGAGACATGACACTCCATTTCTTCCATATATTCAAGAGGCGACCAATATCACCAGCCTTCATGGCCCGGTTGGCCTCAACAACGGTTGAAAATTCTTCCAGTCGGATCAATATGTTATGAAGCTTTGGAGAAGCTCGCTTGGAAGCTTTGTGCCGAGCTTCACCTGTACAATAAAGCAAGTAGACCTCCTCAATGATTGCATTCCACTTTGCCGTTGGCATTTTTGGAAGGCCTTTTGAAAGGTCGTGTTCGGTCATTGGTCGGTCCTGAGTGCCCATGACGGTTCTAAAGCCAAAATGTAAAAATACAAAAGATACAATTCAAAACTTCTGAAAAAGTACACGGCTCGATGAGGTTCAATGACGTACTTTATGCAATATAAGATAGTCGCTTCATGCACCTGTTCCATGTGCTTTATCATTAGTGAAAAGTCTTTTTTTGGAAAAGCCTTTGCATGAGGAATCCCAAGACTTTCCAAACATCGCCAAGCGCCGGTGTCCATGGAATTTTTCACATCCCCAAAGTGGGCTTTGAATATGCTGGATGCAATGTTCCACAAAGTGTGGGATGCACCAAGCTGAAAGGATATATTGTGCAGGCTATGATGAGCATATGCACTTGGTACACGGAGAGATCGAAGACTATTGAAATTTCGACAAGTCGCCAAATCGCCGTCCATGAGCTGTAAGCGGCCAAAAAATTGATCTAGATCGAGTCCTGTTTGCTGAGCTGTTGCATCCAGGACTCTTCCCATACCCTCAGAACTATTCTCGGGGGCGTCCATGAGCTTAAGCATTTGGATGTCGGGTGCTTTTGAGGAAATCTTCTCCACAGCTGGGGGTTCAAGGCTAATGGCCTGCGCTCGCTTATCGGGTTGGGCAACGTATTGATTCAAAACTCGGGCAATCTGACTCTTCCAGATTGACTTGTAGCTTATTTCAGATTCGGGGGTTGAGAGAAACATGGAAGGTTCAATCTGGAAGGATGGAACCTTCTTCATAGCTTCCTTGAAACAGTCGAGTGTCAGTTCGGATGTGTCAAGGGTCTTGAGGAGCTCAGGTGATGGGAACTGGATATAACCCCAAGTTCCATGGAAAGTGTGGCTCTGGTGGCCAATTGAGTTTGTATGGACATGTTGCTCAATATCGAGATTATCAATACAGATGATCGGTGAGACTACGGCAGACGAAGGTCGAGAAAACACATTTTTCAAATTCAACTGGGCACAGGATGACAGTGTTTTCAGAGCACTCATTGCAGTCTGTCGGCTACTTGCCAGTCCATGGTACATAAGCCATTGGTTGACTCTTTCAGTAATTCCACATGCTAGGAATTCAATGCTGTTCCTCAACTGAGGTCCATTACATCGACGGTTTCGAGAGAAAGCAATCATGCTGCAAATCAACTTCGCAACCTGCATGTATAGCATAAAAAGTGTCAGTTAAGCAAAATTGTCTTCATTCACATGCAGTCATCAGGATGCTGACAGCAGATACCCGCTGTTCCTTACGAGCTAATGGATTTGGAGGCCGATGGTAAGTGATCTCCTCCATTCTCAAACCCTCTGCTTCCATCGGGTCATCGATATCTGGATCTGGGCCAAGGTCATCAACCTCGGTGGCATTGACTGAAGTGTTATCCGAAACCGAACGTAGCATTACTCGGGATATGAGTTGATATAAAAATGGCATGCTGGCCATGATTCGATCGTTGTCTTGTTTTCTGGCGGCTTCACTACAAAATTCAGCTGAGATCCGGGTGCTGCTCTGAAAGCTGCCTTCGGGGTAATAGCCTCGGGGTGGCGACTGGGATGCAGAAATCTCTACCGCCTGGATGGAGAACAAAAAATTCCTCAGCAACAATCAAATTCAAAGTCCTTTCAGACAATCCTACTTGCCTCGTCTTGAACATATCCAGCCCATTTCTTGCGACCCTCCGGATTTTTTTTGAGATGTTGAACAATCTCTTTCAACAGCTCCATCGTTGAGTCCTGGCCGGTTGCCGGCCACAGTCTGCGTCGATCAGCCAGCGCCGCATGATTGTTCTGTAGGAACCGAAGGAGAAATTTCTTAGGGGTGAGACCATTCGATTGGATCACCTTGCAAATATTGAGAAGTCTTGTGTGTTCCGGAATTTGAGGTGAATTTGGGGGCCCCGACATGTTCTGAATTCTGTCGGTCGAGCAGTTCATCTTCCTTGTTGCGAGTGGGGCTTCGATCTAGAGGCTAAGACTTAGGACTCAAGGAGAAGTGGCGGTGCCAGGTGGCAGGTTATGGGAACGAGTGCCACATATCAGAAGGTTTAACCTTGCAAATGGATAAACACAAAGGATCCACAAAAAATTGTTCTTGTGGATCCAGGTTAATCCTGGTGGATCCTTTTTCAAAAAAAGTAATTTTATCGAATTTTTTTAAAAAATATTAAAAATCTCTGCTAGGTGATGAGACAAATCTGACTCGGCCAAGCTGGAGAGAACACGCTAACGATTGAGAAAACGGTTTGGCGGCCTGTTTGATTGGCTGGGGTAGGAGCTATCAAAAAATTAAAAAGCTCCCCAGCCAAAGTGGACTTTCTGCTCCCGCTTAATTTTTGAGTTCCCCCGCAAGTCCCTCCCTGCGGGAGGGGGCGCTTCGCGCCCAGCGCCAGTGTTACACAGCGATCCTCCCACCAGGGGGACTTGTGTTAAGTTAGACCTTCGCCCTTAATCTTCAGCATCGAAGAGGCCGCTTTAGCCTCAGGGAGCTTGAACCTTGACAGTGTGCAGCAGTTGATTGGATAGATACATAGACAATCCACAACCGAACGGTCTCATGCGGTCTCGAGTCTCCCAAGTCCTTGAGGCTTGGATATGTGACGCCATTTGTTTCTAGCAGTTCTGGATCATTCATCATCCAAACGTCAACGAGATACATACATGTCAGTGTGCGCGCAATTCAGCAAGATGATAAAGACCGACGGCGGGTGCTTGATCAACACACGGCGGCCGCGGGTCGGCTGTAGCTGCCTCGTCAGCTTGCTTCTGGTACATACATAGATTCAAACCATCCATGCGAAGCATTCTTTTGTCGGAGCTCAGGTCTTGGATGTCACTTACATACCGCTGGTGGAACATCTTAACTAATGGCAGGCCGAGGCCGGGGCAGTCCACCAAGCTATCCTTCCAAGTCCTTAGGGGATGAGATATGGTGGCGTAAAGTCTTGGTCGAGCTGGTAACCTGGTTTGATAAACACTCTGGCGGCTGCCGGGGGCTGTTCTTTGAGGTAGAACAATTTTTTCGCGGTGGCGTTGCCAGGAATGCTCCTAGCAGTAATCGGTTGGCGATGCAATCGTCCAAGTCGATTCTGTCGTTTGACCATGAGACGCAGCTTCGTGAGCATGCTTGCCAACGAGTGATCCATGAAACCTGCGCGAGTCTAATTTGTCTCCCAGTCTTCATCGCACTTGTCTGCTAGTCATACTTTGCCTATCCCAGAAAGATAGACTTGGTTTGCACTCCTCACCGACAGGGCCTTGTGGATGGACTTGGAGTGTACTCTGAGCGGCGGAATACTGACACGCCAGCAGTCCTGCATTTTTGCTGACTCCTTGGTCTTCCTCAAGCTATGTGGACTTCCATGTAACCTCAAGACCGGCCTCCTAAATCAACTCAGATTACACACGGATACATCATTCGGTTCCTTATTATAAAGCTTCATTCCTTTCCTGGATTAACTAATTTGTTTGGCATATATAATCGTTTTTTTCAATCACTCCAAGCCCGGCTTATTAACCGGTTGCAACGTCCTGCAAATATTTCCACACCCCAAGCTACCCGGTAGATTTGCGACTGATTTTTGTTCTGGGCGCCCTTACTACCTTGGACCTTCAAGTCGAAGCCTTCTATCAAGGTGCTGTTAGCATTGCATATTATATAATCTGTTCCAGAGCAGCTTTGTTCTCTTCATCCTGATCCACCCGGGTCACACTCATTTTGACATTTTCATTTTTATTGCGCCTATCAGTAGAATATCCCCACGGCGACAGGCAAGGCGACTCTGCTAAATCATGGCCAATGTTGAAGACCCCGTCGTGGATGCAGAGATCTCTAGTGCGGAGGTTTCTTGTCCTGTCTCTTCTAGTAGCTGCAAGCCTCTGTCAAGGCCCATGATAACGGCCAAGCCATTGGGAAGCCCATTCCACGAGATTGACGAATTGGATTTGAAACATGAACTCTATCCAAGGCAAGATGAACGGGATCTCCAATATCAGGACATCCCCCTTCCACCACCCTCAATCAACTTTACCTCTAAACCAGGTACTCCATCTAGCCGCATTTCCAACATGACCGACTCAACTCCAATCAGAAACAAATCACCCTCAGGCATTGGTTTACTCTTCAATCGCTCAGAATATCCAACTTCAATCTCCCAAGCATCAGATTTTCTGGCAAGGGATAGAAAGCTCAGTGAAATGACTGAAAAGTATCCGGAGACCATCGTGCAACAAGAAGCTAGTCACTCTTCCATCAGCGGAGCTCTATGCAATTCATTCTCTCTCAGAAAACAGATATGCACATCTTCTACAACTCAAGCAGCAACATCTCCCTCCCTGAGCTCAATCGACGCAGATTTGATAACCCAAGCATCGCCTGGCTAGACAGAGAAACACCAGAGTAAGTTGGCTCTTTTACCCCGTTTCAGCAAATTCTTTTGAGCTCAAGAATAACTCGTGGAAATCCCCCCTCCCCCTCCCCCCTGATCAACCCAGACTCACACTCGCCATCACGCCCCTGACCCCACTCAATCGAGGCTCGTTACCCTCCGTCTCCAACCCCAGCCCGTCTACGATTCATCCGCCAGTCAGTTCGTCCTCAAATGACGGCCTCTCCACCACATTATCCATTCGTTATTGCCCCCAACTTTCTGATCCAATTCAACTGGCTAGCCCTCCGCCCGAGTACCATCCAGATCGACCTGCTAGATATCCTTTCCTTCAGAATCCCTCACAACTCAAAGCTTGTGATCAGGATCCTGGCCCGTGGCATGACTCGCTCTGTTTGACCGTTCCCATAGCACATACTAAATCTAAATTCGATCACACTCATGCCTGCTCGGGCAGTCCGAAGTGCCAGGGGGAGATGTCCCCTAAAAATGAGAGCTCTTGTCCCGCCATCCTGAGCGCCATCTGTGCTATTATAATCCCACTCGGTTGCTTGCTTTGCAATGCCACTTGGCTGGCCGAATCGTCTGAAAAATCATCTGCGGGAAAGGCTGTCCTAGCTTTATATTGCTACCTCATCATCATAATGTGTGAGTGACTTTCGGTGCGCTCCATCAAACAAAGAAAGATTGTGCGATTGATTGATTATAGACTGAAAATCAAACAAAAACATAGTATCTTCAATGTGGAAGGCAGCATCGAGTGACCCCGGCATCATTCCAAGAGATCTCGACCTGGAGCCAGAATATGAGTGGGATGAGGAGCGCATACCGATCCAGGAAGAGCACATAAAAATGAAGGAACCTCAGGCACTTTCCCAGCCACGAATCCAGGCACGTTCGGTGAACATAGGTGACTATATAGTCCCATTGAAATGTTGAGTGTATTGTGCATCTCCATCCTGGCAAGTTCTTGGCTAGGCTGACGCGGGTATTTAACCGTCGAATGACAGGGTGTCGTCGTTGTCGAACCTACCGACCCCCACGAGCTAGCCATTGTAGGATTTGTGACTTTTGCATTCTACAGTCCGATCACCACTGCACATTCCTCAACAACTGTATCGGCCGCAAGAATTACTTTGTTTTCCTGATCTTCCTCTTTACCACCGCTGTCGCCATGCTGAGCACAATCGCCATCTCGATCAGCCATCTCGCCCTGATGACCGACCCCGCAGTCAATCCGGAAGCAATTGGAAACTACATCGTCATCGCGCTGGCTTTCTTGCTGGGCGTTCCAGTCTTCGGCTTATTGGTCTTCCATATGAGATTGATCTCCAAAAACGTCACCACCACGGAGCGCGTAAGCGGCTTTATCATTCTTCTCTTCTTGTACCATAAACTAAAGAGTGGATAATGAGGCCCTGGAGTATCAAAATATAGTTACTGACCAAGCACATTTTATTGCTTTAATCACTCTTCCCTGAGCTGAAATAGTTGCGGCCAATCATTATACAAGAGAATGGGATTGAATCTCCAGCAAGAGGAGATATCCAGCTATACTCGCTAGGCAAGTGGTACTCGAACTGGCTCTGGATAGTGTGCAGACCCAATTTTACTCTCGAGGGGATAAAACTTGATCCTTTGTTGACAGAACCAGAGTAGCTTTTAGTAATTCTGACACTAAAAATCAGCCCAAAAATGTTTGATCATCATATTCACGAGAACAAATCATTTGCGTTTTTTGCAAGCTTTTGATAGTCAAACAAAATCATTTGCGAGCCACCAAAGTTTTTTCTGTGTTCTATTCTTGTTTCAATCTCCATTTAATTTTGAAAACTGACACTCTTTTCACTGTTAATATGATGAGGTCTAGTCGCATTCATACTTTAATCCTCGCATTTTTTGAACCCTTTTAAGTGGAGTTGAACTCGGAGATTAAGAAGAGATAGATGGAAATTGATCGACTTGCACTCTTTTTTCTTTCTTGTGAACGCTTAGCATGAGTCATTTATGTTGAGAAACGTCTTGGAGTCGACCTTGTTCCTTGTTTGTGACTCAGATTTGTTCCTGCCGTCCTTCTAGCTCTCAGTATGCTTTTTTTCTTGTTTCCTTTTTACATTTTTCTGAAATTAATAGCAATTCGTGTCAGACATGCTATTAGGGAATTCATACAATTACATCCATGCCTGATTGCAGTTTTGAAGTGAGAAATCAGAATGAGAAGTGGACTCAGTACAGCAAAATGATCTATGCATCATTAATTTTCCATAAAAATAGCTACAGCATGGGTGGATTTTAGTGTCCCAGGGACTTTATGCAAAAAACATCTCATAGGTATTGAACAATGCTTTTCAACAGAGATCCTCTACCAAGGATGTAACAGATCTGATCCCCGGATCGGTATTTATCGGGGATCGGATCAAAAATCGACCCGATACTGGGTATCGGTATCGGATCGCTCCACCCAATCCAATCCCAATTTATTGGACAACTGGGATCGGGTGGAGCGATCTGATACCGATACCTGGTATCGGGTCCATTTTCAATCCGATCCCCGATAAATAGCGATCCGGGGATTGGATTGCTTACAGATTGGATGATGCCCAACTGCAATGCATACTGCCCGCACCATAGGGGTGCCGGATCGG